TACACTAGTTACCCATGCATGGAAACTTAACCAAAACAAAAAAAAAAAAAAACGAAGAGTGAACTCGAAGCTCCATCATTTTGAGTTCAGCAGATGACAATGATGTGCTTGTTTTTATCTCTTCCTACCCCTGAACTCTCGACTAGCGCTCCAACATAACTTCATCAAAGTTCCAGTCTGTCACAAGGTCCCGTCTAACAGCACGGCTTCGAACTAGACGTGGGGCTCCTGCAACTGCACTACTAGGGACGGAGGGTAGGGGCATCACTTTGGATGGTGTAATCCGAGGATTGGCTCGAGGAGGTGGAAAGGAAGTCTTCCTATTCAAGCAATTGGCGATCACAGAACATCGTCCCTCATTGTCTGAACTTGATACCGAGTAACTTCTGAAGGAATGTGATGGACTTTCTACACCATGGCATACAAGACAAGCCAAACTCATGTTGGCCTTCTCCCAATTCTGAAATGCAGCCCGCAGTTAATGCACTGTACACAACCATACATTAGAAAACAAATAAACGAATAAGATTTGAGTAATCTGTAATCAAATGTTCATATGGGATTTTGGAAGAAGATCTAAAATCCTCTATGCCCATTTCATCACTGTCCCAAATCATAGATGATATGGAAACGACTCATTATTCCATTATTCCCCTTCATTTCTCTCTCAGAATTCACAAGATAACCTCCCAAAAATTGAGAGAGAGAGAGAGAGAGAGAGAGAGAGATCAGTATAATGCATTTACCTAGAACGTGATCCAGTACAACTGAATAAGTAACAAAAAGGAACTACAGGTATACGATCAAGTTAATATATCACGAATAAGGGGACATTAACAGTGCCAAAACTCAAGAGGAAGTGCCAACAATAGGTAAGAAAATTGAAAAACTTAAAAGCGATTGCAACGTGGAATTAAAGAGCCCCCCAGCTGAACATTTCTGGAAAGACCAAAAAACTCAAAACTAGGAAATCACCAAGTGCAATCCAGCTGAACATTAAGGAGATATAGACTCAACCACCAATCTCTGGTTTGGATAGCAAATAAAGGACCTTGCTGGAATCATTCCTTGAAATTCTTGCTACATTGGTTTAGTGTTTAACTTGTTTCCATGTCTTAGTTTCCTAAATGTTTTCAGTGCCTCTCTCCCTCAATTATAATAAAGTTTTCCGTTCTTCCAATCCTATTGCTAGCCCAGAATAAAGAAAAATATCAAAGAAAGGAAAATCAAGCATGTATTTCCGTTAATACATGCAGTTACATGGGAGTAGATCACAAATACGTGGTTCACTGCTATTTTGATAAGCTTATTTAACAGTGCACCACCGATAATCTAAAAGCTAAAGGGATCCAAGTAAAAATTGGATTGGTCAATTCTATGAAAGGCAGTCTTTCTCAAAGAACAGTTGCAATCCATTAGATCGATTTCATGCGCATTCAATTAAACTGCATAAACATTCGTAAATAAACAAAAAAGTCTCCAACTCATGGAAAAACAAAAAATATAACAAGATACTAATACAACTGAAGAGTGCATGAGAAGAATGACATGTAAACCGAAAACTATTCATTATGTCCAGTTTTGAAGAAATATTTTCATGCTTATAGACAATAAGAAGTCATGATTTTAACGCGAAGTATAAAGTACAGATATTTGTGGCACTAAAAAAAATTTTTTGTCTATGGATAATATAAAGAGTGAGAACAAAGGAGGTTATGAAGCCTTCACAAAGTGACATTTTTATAGAGGCCAGAGATAACAAGCATAATATATGCAATCTTGCCATGTTTGTTAATCACTATATCATGGACTGCTTAGGTATAGGATTGGATAGGTATTTCCCCAATAATACATTTCAAACCATACGTGAAACCATGATTCGAGTGTACTTGTTGTCTACTGGGTAAGACAAATGAGAACCAGAAATGACAACAAAACCACCCATCTCCTCAATCGTATGAAAACAACTATTGAAGAGTCGAATTAGCAGCCCCCTGAAAAATTTAGTATATTCGGGAGGTAAATCAAAAACTTTAAAAAAATTAGACCTCATTTATAGGTTGTTTTTAATATTAATAAATGAAACTTCCCTGCATAACACTTATGACTCACATCCTAGATATGTTCCAAGATTATTGAAGCATTGTTTTGCATTACATGGAAATCTAACTTCTACATTTCTAAAGCCTTCGGGTCCAAATAACAGATTAATGTTCCCAAGCTTTGAAAAAACTAAAATCTTATTTATTGTACCGTCCAATCCTGTCAATGATGCAGGCCAAACATCAAAGTTCGGCTGAACACAGAAATTTCAAAAAAATTAAGACTGTATTCTTACGATTTCAAAATTAATCTTGAAACAATTTAACATAAAATTAAGACTGCCTTCATTAATTTACCCCAAAATATTTTTCTCCAATTGGGTTCTCTCCAAAAAACG